GTTTAAATCTAGATTAAAGACACATCTCTTTGGCCAGTCATTCAAATAATGCATCTCATAATCTTGAATTGCAGTTATATCTGATCAAATGTACATTATTATTCTTTAGCTTGGGTTGTACAAATCATTTTTGCTTGGTTGGAACAGCAGCTACGCTAATTATATCTCTATTTGTTTCTCTGTTTTTGCCTAGGATTTACACAAGCTTCAGTCTGGATCCAGAACACCGGAGAAGAGATGATGCCAACCCCTCAGAGGACCTCAGATGATACCAACCCTGAAACAACATACAGAACTACCACATTTTGCTATAAGTTTGATTGCATCATATAATAATTGCTGTTAATAGTGTTCATCGTCTGTTTGATTACGTTTTTAATTGATTTTTCCGCACATTTCTGCCATATGTACATTGACTGACAGTCACCACTGATAAGCTACCACTAAATATTGTAGAAACTTAATTTGCAGTAAAGTTGCTTTGCAATGATTTGTATTGTGAAAAGTGCCGTACAAATAAACTTTAATTGAATTGAATTGAATTCCCAGATGAATACTATGAGCCAGTTATTTTTAGTTAATCAAAACTGTAATAGCGAGAATGGTGTAGCTCATTTTCCGAACAAATGGTTCCTATGACCTGGTTATTTTTCACTTGATTGCGTTTTATTGCATACACATCTTGCATCTTTTTTTGCAGTGTCTTGGGCATGAGAGCTGCATTTTAATAATGCTGTCAAGTTAAAAATAAATCCCCCCAAATGTTGTACTAAAGGCACATGAGACAACATGTATTTAAAGATACACATTATAAGTTTTGTCAGTGGTATTGTATAAATATGAATGAATGAATGAATGACTGAATGAATGAAATGCTATCATATTTGTTTTTAGGTCATTTACTTATACTGTAGTTATGATAAAGTGTTTGATTAAAGTAATTAGCCTATAGGTTTGTGCAAACATTCTTTGATTTGTTATCAAAATGAAACATACTGATGAGGGCAGCGAATGCAATTACATTATTGCATTCCTTTCCCCCTCAAAAGGGGTTTTTATTTTATAATTATTATTATTATTTAATAAACGAGTTACTAGTGGAACCGTCAAGGAACCAGAATCGTTAAAAGAAATCAGAATCGCAATAAGAATTTCCTTGAAAAGAAAGCACACTAGATCATGTACTTTCTTACTTAAAACCATTTTTCGGTGATAATAATGTAACCAGAGAAAAACGCGTAAATGCAACCGGTCACGAACTGCATCTCCGCACAAATTGAACGAACAATCGATCATTTTCTGTCTCGGCAAACAACGAATCTTAACTGAAGAGAGTTGAAGATCGTCTGTCTTTTAAGTCACGTTTCATGCCTTAATATTACACCTGCCGAAATGCAAAACACATCCGAAGACGATAAAGTTGCGCGTTGATCGTACAGTAAAGCCATTTCCAAACAAAATAAACTCAGCTGCGCTTCAACACACAACGAATGCAGGCAGCATGCTTGCACAGTAACACACTTGAAGTGCTTACGTTCATCCTCTTCATCCTGAAGCCGTATCACACAATATCCGAGCAAGTATCCACGGAAATCAGCGGAGACGGCGATACAAACGCCCATTAAATATCTTTGACCGAAAATCACTCCCGGGGGACCAGGAGAGTGACGGTCGCTGGCTAAACCCCGGCGGTCCGCATCCTCCTCGTGCCGTGTCTCATAAAGCACCGCGCACAGCGTTTTCTGTCCGCAGTGCTTGAGGAAAACACAGAGGTGACAGAGATGAGAGGAGTGAGAGTGGAGGGATATTCCTCGCCAGCGGTCTCTTAATGCGCAGCGGCGAGCAGGAGTACGATAGGAGGAGGAGGAGCGCTCTGAATTCATTATCAATAAATGCTTCTTTTTCGCAGCGCGCTGGAAGTTTAAGTGAATTGAATTAAACGTAATTGATTGGACTGCAGAAAACACAGAGGTGACAGAGATGAGAGGAGTGAGAGTGGAGGGATATTCCTCTCATCGCCAGCGGTCTCTTAATGCGCAGCGGCGAGCAGGAGTACGATAGGAGGAGGAGGAGGAGCGCTCTGAATTCATTATCAATAAATGCTTCTTTTTCGCAGCGCGCTGGAAGTTTAAGTGAATTGAATTAAACGTAATTTATTGGACTGCATTGCTGCTCGCGCTCGGTGAAATGCTCAAACATCGCCTATTTTCTTCGCAAAGATGGATCAGAAAGAATGCTATTGTTTCGGCTATTTTCCAGATACAAAGTGCACAGAAATAACAAATACTAAACGATTCTTGTAAATCAAATGAGTTCTTGTAGATTACTGACTGCCCTACTGAGAAAACAGCCCTCGCCTATTTTCTTCGCAAAGATGGATCAGAAAGAATGCTATTGTTTCGGCTATTTTCCAGATACAAAGCACAGAATAAGTGCACAGAAATAACAAATAATAAACGATTCTTGTAAATCAAATGAGTTCTTGTAGATTACTGACTGCCCTACTGAGAAAACAGCCTAAAACAGACTACAGTATCCCTTTTTTTGCTCGTCTTCCGGCCTGGTCAAACTGGTCAGCTGGCTGATTTTAGAAGGGTTCTGGTGAGGCTTGAAAGTCAGCTTAAACCAGCTAAAACAAGCAGTTTAGGCAGTTTTCTTCAGCAAGGTGATCTGATGCGCTCTGCTTTTGGGAATGTAGAAATGCCTTGCTTGTTGACTTTAACTTTAAAAAGTAAAATAAGTCAGGCCTATGTAAATGGTCATTTGTGCCCACAAGACTACAACACATCCAGGTCAATTGCAACTAAAATACATGCAATGAGTTTCGGAAAAGATGTATTTTTTGTATGTCTGTCTATCTAATTGTATTTTTCCTAGATATCTATCTACAGGCTTAGATGAAAATCTGCAAAAAGTCACAATCATGTTGTGGCTTCAAAATCAAACCGACAAAAAAGAACAAGTGAGTTTCACCAAACACATGGTTATTTAAGGTTATTTAATCAAACATGAGATTAGTTAAGATATATTGTTAGTTAAAATAAGTAACTTACTGTTCTCGACAATAACTGTGCTGTTTCCCCTCTGGGTCCTGTTGGCACTGTGTTCTAATATAAAGGACCAGACCCTCTGCGTGAGGCACACATGAACACTGCAAAAGCAGAGGTTCTGAATCTGGCAACCAGCAGTGGCTTAACCTTTCTTTCCTTCCCTCTTCCGGTAAAGCTGTAATCCCTCCAAGGCGGAAGAAACTACCCTCTTCTGATTCCAGATCTGTTTTGCAGCCCCTCTCGTTGTGGTGTAGGCCATGCTTGGCTGGTTAATGCTGATCACAGAGCAGTGTGAAAGATCCTAATCTCTCATATGCTGAGCGGTGTGACGCTAATGTGGTGGGGTTTTGTTTAAACAGTCCCAGCATGATATGGGCAATTAGGGAAAGTGAAAAGTATTGACACACACACACGTTTTATATGGATCCTGCTTGAATGATTGCAAAAATGCTGAAAACACTGCTTTGAGGTTTTGTAGTAACAGCACAAGTTTGAGCACAAGCATACACACAAACAGCCTTCATTCTGACCATATAATCTACATCTGCAATAATGTGGATGTATCATTATGCGTCATTACAGAAGCAGCCATGCAAAGAGAACAGCTCTATAGGGACAATGCGGCCCTTATGACTTATGGTTATCTAATCAGACTCAAAGTTGTTGTTTTTTTGCCACACCAATGAATTAAGCTTTTGAGAGTGTGAGAGCATCCTGAAAATACACAACCAGAATATATTTGTTTGTTTGCAGTAATGCAAATGCCTTGCAAATGGATATATAATTTGTATAAAATATGTGTGTGCTATAGCAGAGAGAAGTGAGATATAGCATAAGTAGGCATATGTGTGTACACACATGCATGTTTGTACATTCATCCGCGTATACCGACATTGACAGCAGAGACACCCACTAGCCAATGAGACCCATAAATCAAAGCCCAACTTCCCTTTTCTTCCCCATGCCTGTCCCTTGTCTGCTCAAAAGGCCCCTATACAGCTGCTTCACCACCAGCACATCCTTGCCTCAAGATAACCCCTACACAGATCGATACCCTCAATCCCTGGACAAATGCATGCATATCTTCCATAGCAGGCAAGGCAGGGGCTTTGTCTCCCTCTCTAAATGCATTGAGTGTGAGAACAGTTTGCCCCAGTCTGAGAGTGTGAGAGAGTCAAGGTGAAAGTATGTGATCAAAGAGAAAATGTCCGAGGCTTTGTGCTGAAAAGACTTTCATTGATGGATGACCCATTGACACTTTAACAATTTAGGGGAGAATTTAACAGAGTGGAATAGATTTTGGCATGAAAGACATTTGCTGGCTGGGTTGAGAAAACTAATTTTTGTGGACAAAAGTATTCAGACTGATGTAATTTCGGGTCATGTTGTGAAATGTTGGGGGTGTTTCATAATGCAGTTTTCTTGTTATGTTGGATTATTGAGCCACTTTGTCTCCTGTTATAAAAGGCATTAGTGTAATTCTGTTTGTCATGGACTTCGAAAAAACTCCAAAACACAGAAACATTTTTGTTTTGGTCTTGTTCTTTGAGAAAGAAACATGGAGAGTTTCAAGAGGAACTATTTTTAACACATAAGAATGTATGCAATTAAAAAGACACCTGACGAAAAACTTGACAAATTTTTTTACTTTCATAAGGAAACAGCCAAGCGAACAAAACGACATAAATGTTATAATAGATAAATTAAATGTGCACTGTTTTTATTTTATTTTTTTACATGATTCCCAATTATTTATATTCACGGTTTCTAATATTTGTACAGGCTTGACAATTTTATTTTAATGTAGTAATTAACAATTCCTTTAATTTTATATTTGAACAGATTTGTTACGTGACAGCATTAATTAAAGTTTCTTAAGGGTCAAGATCATGTTGTCTGCATCTCCTGCACTCCATCAAGGCACTCCCATAATAGCTGTCACCCCTCAAATTAATGCACGACTCTACATTATCTGTATAGCATGTGTGTAAGACTCGTATACAATTATGAAGTAATAATTTTATGACGAATAAATCTTTCAGTGAGTAAAACTGGCTGTCTATAGTATTAAAGACTACACAACATTATTATATTATCTTTAAATTAGTTTTTAAATTATTGTCCCTGGATATTATTGTCCCTGGATTAGTAGGGTACTCTTGTAATAAAGTAGCGGTGGTAGCGGACAGATTTTTTAGTATCAATTCTGCTTAAATCATCTGTTTACATGAAATAAGCCTGCTCCCGAGCAGGTTTAAGCTTACGGACCTGTTGCTATGACAGCAACTCCGGGATGAGCTTCGAAGAACCAAACAATACAAGATCATGCCAAATCATCAGCAATCAAATCCAGCTAAACATGTTAGTGACGTACAAAGAATGGGCCCAGGCAGAGAGTCAAAACCAAAGTAGCAGACCAATCTGTCAACATACACGGGTAATTCAATTCAAATCAAATGTATTTGTATAGCGTTTTTCACAATACACATTGTTTCAAAGCAGCTTTACAGAAAATGCATGTGTCTACATTACAATTTAGAGTGATCTGTTATCAGAAGTGAAAATCCAAAAGGCAAAGGTGAGCAGGCAGGCAAAAGGTTCAAACACAAACATCAGTCCAATCAGGCTACCAAAACAAAAGGGATAATCCAGTCAATTGAGAAACAGGGAACCAGGCAGAATCATACACAAGACAGATATGAGGGAAAATGCTCTGTAAGGCAGTAGAACTGGCAGTACTTCCAGACAAAAGATCCAAACATCAGTCCAATCAGGCTACCAAAACAAAAGGGATAATCCAGGCAATCAAGAAACAGGGAATGAGGCAGAATCATACGCAAGACAGGCAGGGAGATAACAGGGAAAACGCTCGGTAAGGCAGTAGAACTGGCAATATTTTGTAATAGGCAAACAGATAATGTCTAGCTACAGTATATAGTAGGCAAACAGATAATGTCTAGCTACAGTATATAGTAGCCAAACAGGAAATGATCGTAGAAGCAGCAGAGGGAGTAGCACACAGTCAGTACTCAGGTGAGAGCTCCCTCTGCTGGCGTGGTGTTACAGTTTAGCACATCTTTTATTTTTCTATTCATTTTTTTTTACTTGTTCTATTTTATTTTGATATTATGTATTTGTGTTGTAACATATTATTCTGTTCTCATTTTTATTTATAGCTGAATATTTCATTTTACTGCTTTATTGTTTGTATTTCTTTGGTGTTTTGTTAGCTGGGGTAAAAATATTGAGGAATTCCAACTTGTGGTGAATCTGTGCACTTGATATTAATTAGAAAATTCCAGTAAAGAAATCTGAAAAGAGAAAAAAGTTGCTGAATCAAATGACTTTGGAAATTAAAATATATTCTGAAAACTCATATTGCCGATATATACATCATGTGTATTTGTAGGCAGGTTATTTAGTAGGCTAACATACTCATTGTTTGGCTCTGGAACGAAGTCAGTGGAATTGTAAATGATGCCCATTTCTGAGAGAAGTTTGTAGATTCTACAGCCAAGCATTGACTCTGGCAGGAGAACCAACACCATTTAGGTGGAAACAAGGTAATTTTATGCCTCTGCAAAACAAAGCAATAGTCATGCCCAGCCAAAAAAAACAAAAAAAAAGCACTCACAGACTTGTGAATTCCCCAGAAACCCTATTCAACCAATT